GAACCTTGTGATATTTGTCATTTAGCTAAACAAAAGCAATTATCATATTCTGTTAGTACTAGCAAAGCCTAAAAAATATTTGATCTTATTCATATAGATATATGGGGCCCTTTCTCTCAAGTTTCTATCCATGGTCACAAATATTTTCTTACAATTGTCGATGATTTCAGTAGATTTACCTGGGTTGTTTTATTAAAAACAAAAGCAGAGGTCTAAATTAATATTGAAAATTTTATTGCCTTAATTGAAACATAATTTGATTCTAAGGTAAAAATTCTTCATTCTGATAATGGCCCAGAATTTTCCCTAAAAGACTTTTATGCCTCTAAAGGTATTATTCACCAAACAAGTTGTCCATGCACCCCTCAACAAAATGCTAGAGTAGAACGGAAACACCAACATATTCTCGATGTTGCCCGGGCCCTTATGTTTGAATCTGAAATTCCTAATAAATTTTGGTCCTATGCCATTAAGCATGCTATTTTTCTCATAAACCGGGTTCCCTCACCCGTTATACAAAATAAAACTCCTTTTGAATTAATTTTTAATAACAAACCTGATTTTTCTAGTATCAAGGTTTTTGGATCTCTTTGCTATGCTTCCACCCATACTCCTCGAAAAAAAATTGACCCACGTTCTAGACGTGGTGTTTTTATTGGTTTTCAAAATGGAACAAAAGGGTACATTATTTTGGATTCCAGAGAAATTTTTTTGTCTAGAAATGTCATATTTCATGAAGCAATCCTACCATTCAAAAAGCCCAAGCCCAATGATATTGTCTCTAACACCACTCCTCCTCTTCCTTCAGAACCATCCATACCTTTTCACAACAACACTTACCCTCATGTGGACCCCATTTATTCTCATGTGGACCCCATTTCAACACCAAACACGTCTCCTTCCCTGCCTTTGCCTAACGCATCACCATCAACCACCCACCTTAACTCACCATTACCATCACCACCCACATCTAATTCACCTACGCCCACCACACAATTCATTCCTCAGCCACGTCGTTCAACTCGTGTTCCTCAACCATCAACTCAGCTTCGTGACTTTGTTTGTAACACCTTTACTGCTTTGTGAGACCAACCATCCTCAGAGTGTGAATATCCAATTCAAAAGGTCATTTCTTACTCTCAGTTACCTCCATTTGATCACAACTTTGTCATGTCTCTTTTCTCTGAAAGTGAACCCGCTACCTACAAAGAGGTGATTCACAACCCCTGTTGGATTGAGGCAATGAATGCTGAGATTGATGCTCTGAATCTAAATCAGACCTGGGACATTGTTGTGCCTCCTCCTAACGTTAAACCCATAGGATGTAAATGGGTTTACAAGATAAAACGCAAAGCTGATGGTAGTATTGAGCGCTACAAAGCGCGACTTGTTGCCAAAGGGTTCTCTCAAATTGAGGGGATTGATTACATGGTGACCTTCTCTCTTGTGGCAAAGATGACTACAATTCGTGTAATTTTGGCCTTAACATCAATCAATTGCTGGCACTTGTAGCAATTAGATGTCAGCAACACCTTCTTGCACGGAGATTTAGCTGAAGATGTTTATATGACTATTCTTCCTGGTATTCATGGCTACTCTAGTTCACATTACTGTAAACTTCGCAAATCTCTATATGGACTGAAGCAAGCTAGTCGACGTTGGTATGAGAAACTTTCCCTTCTTTTATCTTGTGGATATCAGCAGGCCCAAGCGGATCATAGCCTCTTTGTCAAAAATCATGGAACTGATTTCACAGCCTTGATAGTGTATGTTGATGATATAGTTTTGGCAGGTAATTGTTTGCATGAAATTTATGTTATCAAGCAGATCCTAAATTCAAATTTTCACATAAAGAATTTAGGAAATCTTAAATATTTCTTGGGTTTAGAAGTCAATGTTTCAGATGTTGGAATTTCAATTTGTCAACAGAAGTATTGCTTAGATTTGTTATCAGATTCTGGTATGTTGGGATGCAAACCATCCACCACTCCATTGGTTTGTTCATTCCGCCTTCTTCAAGATTCAAGTGCACCATTTTTTGATCCCCTCTCTTATAGACGTTTAATTGGTCGATTGTTGTATCTTACAAGCACGCGTCCTAACATTACTTTTCCTGTCCAACAACTAAGCCAATTCATGTCTAACCCAACTCAAGTTCACTTCCAGGCTGCTATATGAGTTCTTAAATATCTTAAAGCTAGCCCCAGCAAAGGCCTTATGTGTTTAGGCGTGATTCACCGGTTCATGTTCTAGGTTTTAGCGACACAGATTGGGCTACCTGTGTTGATTCTCGTCGGTCTATTACAGGATATTGCATCTTTATTGGCAATTCTTTAGTTTCTTGGAAAACCAAGAAACAGAACACAGTATCTAGATCTTCTTCCGAAGTCGAATATAGGGCACTTGCTTCCACCACATGTGAATTGCAATGGCTCATTTATTTACTGTCTGATTTGGGAATTTCATGTTCAAAGCAGCTTGTCCTGTATTGCGATAATCAAAGCACTCTCCATATTGCTGCCAATCCAGTTTTTCATAAACGCACAAAACATCTAGAAATTAATTGTCATCTTGTTCGTGAGAAAGCTCAGTCAGGTCTCATGCGCTTGCTACCTATTTCATCCTCCAACCAACTTGCTGACATGTTTACAAAGGCTCTTTCCCCTCGCTTATTCACTATTAATTTATCCAAGCTAGATTTGCTTGACATTCACTCACCTCTAGCTTGTGGGGGGGGGGGGGGAAAACAGAAGAAGCCCAATGCTTTCTTAGCCCAATCCATTCCTCAGCCCACAGATTATTCCTCAATACATTCTTAGTTTATTTTCTGTTACGTTTGCTGTAAATATCAGTAGCTTCTAGATGGTATTAGCTGTATATTGTAACAATATTTCTTTATTTTATTTTGTCCTTGTTGATGCCTTTCACCTTGTACATATATTGCTCACATTGGATAATCAATACACCAAACATTTCATCACTCTATTCTATCCTTGCACATTTGTCCTTTTATCTTTTACACACCACTAGCATCCAACATGATTAAGATAGAGAGTGTTTCACTCTCTCTCACCTAACATGGCAAAACCCACCCCTAACCTTAATCAGGCAAAGAACTCTTTAGTTGACTCACGTTTGGCATTGCACCCTTTGACGCCTGACGTGAACCCAAGCAGAGACTCATCTCTCTCCTCATGCATCGACGCTAATCCGATCTGAGATCACTCCCTCTTCCCATGTCTGACTCCACCAATCCTACGCTTGACGTCACCAATCTTGCGCTCAATGTGGAGAAATGGAGGATCCTCTGGTTGAACTGCCCTTAGTGCAGTGAAGGCACACCTAACGCGACATTAGTTCCACACTCATGCAGAATTGATTTCTACTCAAAATCTTGCACTCAACTATACGATACAAGCACGTCAAGGTTTCACCATCAAAACAACATATGCAACCAAGTATTAAAGATTCACCATGAGAAAAGAGCCTTACTTGAAGAACCCTTATACCCACAACTTAGCCACCAAACATCAACAACTTACTATGAATTTAGTGATCTTGGACCACCCCAAACTCATGCACATTAACACAATTACATAATAAACTTCCCTTATCTCTTCGGAGAGCCAAAATCTTCTAAGAGGAGAAGCAAAGAAGGAGTTCCACACCCTTTGTACGGTTTCGAGCCCAACAAGAAACTCAACTTTGAGGAAGATCTCACAACCACTCACCAACTACACAAGAAGAAAATTAGCACCCTTTTGCAAACACCCCTTGAAAACTTAACAAATAAAAACACAATATATTGACAATGAATGAAATAAATGAAAAATATAATAGATCTGCAAAGCCACATATATTTCATGTATCACTTTATCGAAGGCCCAAGACACGTCTCTTGTTATGCATGAGGGGCAAATCTTCTCCACACCACTCACATCTTTCACATGATGCATTGCAGATTCAATTAACTACATTTATAACCACTCTGTCATGAATAATATTCGATATCATCAAAGCCTACAACTCTTACATATTGGAATTGTAAGGATTTCAAGTCAAATGACTACTCTACTATAGTCTTCATAAGAAACACTTATGATACTTGCATAATATTTTATGAAGCTTTATCATAGTGGATCCATCCAGTGTATACATTTATCCCAAAGTCGTGATACATGTAATAAACTGTAGGCCACGAGGATTGATTCTAACAATTATGACATATGTTACAATCATGTCACTTAATTAGTGTCATTAATCAACAACAATTACAAAGTTATGGAAATTCCTTTCTTTTGCTCTTATTCCCTCTATTTTCTATTATATGTAAAAAACCAACATACATTTTTTGTTTTTAAATAAAAGCAAATTTTAACTATTTTTATCTTATTTAATGAAATTATTCCTAAAATATTCATCATTTAATGCATGACCATTTTATGAAGAATATATAGAATTAGTAGAATTTAATATAGATAATTAATTTTCATAATATACGTATTTTTCTTTTTTTTACTTATAATAGAGAATAAAAGGAATACATCATAACTATTATGACATCTCATTTCAACTAACGTATAGACATGCTCCTAAGAGACATTAGTACATTACATCATACACTACAAAAAATGTGTGATTTGTAGATGTTATTTTGGTTGTTTCTAGAGGTTAAAAACCGCCACAAATGGTATTACCAGTAACCGTCAAATCTACAGTCGCAAAAAACGGTTTGTGGCGTATATTTTGTGGATGCTGGTTTTAGGTGTCAGAAACCGCCACAAAATTGTTTTTTTTTTTTTCATTGCTCAGTTGTGTTTCCTTTGAAATGAAAACTCTGGCACCTTTTAGGCGATTTGGGTTTGTCTCAGTTCATTGAATCAGTTTCTATAAATTTATCTTCAAATACATGATCCTATTTTATACATAAGCAACAATATCAAAATAGAAGCACGAGCACAAGTGCACTAGAGAAGCATAAACAAATAAGCATATACCTGTATAGCTGGTCCAGCTGCTGTGTCCTGTAGAAGAGTTTGAAAATAGTCATTTTCATGGGGCATTGACCCATTCAATTCATTCTTACATAAGCTATCAGTAGAGTAATGAACTAATGACAGCAAGGGAGTGATACCTTCAAATCTGAGTGCCTCTTGTGCTTTGATTCATCAGTGTCGGCATATCTCTTGATAGCTCTTAAACTCGCCCACCTATGCAAAGTAAAACACATGGAATTCAGCACATATGATAAATTTCAATAAGAAATTAAAATAGAAAAACAGCATTTCACTCACATGTTTGTTGTATCGATAAGTTTGAAATTGTCCTGCAACTTCAACACAACAATCAGGAAAAATAAATGACAATAGAAAAGAAAACAGTATTGTTATAATATTCTCACGAGTCTTGTCAGTAATTCACAATAAAACTTTTATAACTATTGCATAAGATGAAACAAAATAATATATGTTGTCATAATATATATATACTTACATGTTTATCTTGGTTTCGAGCAATCTCTCGATGCTGCATAGATTATCAAACATAGTGTTAAGCCAAAGTTGTTTCCCAGTGTATGTCTTAAATTTTTTGGATTAAAACTTTTGCAATATATGCTCATATAATAGGTTAAGCTTACACACACATTGAAGACCAGTTCATTAAGCATCAAGCAATTCCAAGACTAGCACAAAATATTGAAGAGACTAAAGGGGGCAAGTAACAATGAAGGGAGAGAAAATATACCTTAAACTTCGTTGTGGTTAAGATTAAATTAAATGATTGGCTTGGGGTCACCTGGGAAAAAAGGAAGAAAATGAAATAGAAAACTCATATATACCTTAAAAAGGGAAGTGGCAGCATTTTATTTGGTAGATAAAATTTTTCTATTTAAGAAGAGTGAAATGGCACGGTTAGTAGATAATACTATAATCCAATTTGCATGCTAGATTAGTGAATGCAAAATATTATGGAATCCTAAAAATGGAAAAAGGGATCCCATGAATAAACCGTTACCCCTGAATCGTCCAACTCTGCATCCACAAGGATTTAGCAAAAGTATTCTAGTTGAAAATAAGGAATAATAAAAGAAATAGAGGAATTCTATTACTTTGCCTAACAATACATGAGTTAGTTCTCTATTTAATAGAGTAACATATACCAATAACAATGGTAAATGCTTAGTGGTTACAAATGAAGGAATAATAACACCCTTAGTAGCTCATAGTTGTGTACTCTACAAGATGATTCATTTTCCAGAATTCTTATATAAAGTCTAGAAGTTTTCATGCAGGGGACAGGTGTTTTGCCATGAATATTATATACCTTTTGCACACGACCGGGAAGTGCAACCAAACGACTCTTGATCTGTCTTACACGTTCAAGATTGAGTGTGCTCAGTTGAGAGGTCAACTCATCTAAAGCTGGGTAAGCCTCTTTCTCCAATGTTGAAGTCTAATATAGACACAAGGCATAGAGCTTGTAAGCATAAAGAAAAAATCATGTTAAAGATAAAGAAAGGAAAGTTATTCACACAGACGCACAATAAAAGAATTCAATATCAGCCATCAGTTGGTCACCAATTCTCCCCCCAGTCAACTACAAAGAATTCAATATCAGCCTATTTACTCAAAAAGTAACCAATAATTACAAACATAAAAGAACTGTTTGTGCAAAAACTAGAGAACGCAGCTTCAAAGACAACAAAAGGGTAGATCCAAGTTGGGATTTGAAAAACATACCTAAAGTTTTTCACACATGTAACTGAAGGCAGCAAGATAAAGTAAAAGTAAAACACATAACGCTTACAAGAGTACCATCACGACCAGCCAATGGTGAGTCATTTACACCAAAAGTCATGGAAATTGTTGGAGGGTCCCATTCAATTGTGGGCAAAGCAGACATAACCTGGGACATTAAAAGATTTACTACAATCACCAATTACATGCTAAAAAGTAAAAAGGTTCTCAAAATACAAGAATATTTTTCATAAAAATTAAGTACAAGTAAATTTTATAAACAAACAAATCAATTTATGCCAATATTATATTTATCTACATATTGGCTTAAAAGAATTAAAAAAAATGCAAAGGCCACATCAAATGAATGATGGCCAATTTCAAGAAGTTAAACGGCAATAAAAAATAAGGAACCAAGCCAAATATATTATATACATATATGAAGAAAAAAATAAATACCTCCACAGTAGCCACTGTATGGCCAATTGACGGACTTGACAGGCCAGCAACGGATATTATATCACCAGCTCCAGCACAATCAATTAAAACCATGTTTGTACCTTTCTTCTTCATAAGCTAAAATTAACTAGTTATAACTTGAACACCATGCCGTTTCTAAATTAATTTGAATTGATTGTAAAGCTTTCTGTAAACATCCTAAAGCATTATAAACATACTGAGTAGGTGACTATTGCTTTTGGCTTATATTACATGCTGATTTGTATGAATAAAAGTTGAAGTTAACTCTCCATTTGATCAAAGCAGGATGGAAAAGGTGGAAACGGTAAAATCTCCAATGTTAACTATGATTTTGATGCTAAACTGAATAATCTTGTTCAGAAAAATGTAGTTGCTATATTCAATGGTTGGAAGGCATGAACAGAAACATCAGAAATTTGTTTACCTTTACCTAAATCTATTGTAGGAGAATGATTATTTTCCATTAAACTTCATGTGCCTTAAGCAATCTCGTTTTTGATGTTTGCATCAATGCAAATAAGAAAAAAAATACATTCCAGAATCTTGTGCTTGAAATCTTACTCTTTAAAGTTCCAATGAATAGGAAATCAACTTTTCAGAGGAACAAATTCAATCCTCTGATTCTCTTGCAGAGATTCAATGAATAGGAAATCAACTTTTCAGAGGAACAAATTCAATCCTCTGATTCTCTTGCAGAGATTCATGTGCCTTAATTGGAGAGCTAAAAGTGAAAGTAAGGAACCCTGAGATTCAGAAATCGAAAATCATTTCAAATCCATAAAACATAAAAGTGGTTTCGAGAGCGTACCCTTGCTTGCACTGATGAGGAAAAAGCCATCGAGCGTAACAGAGCTATAGAAGAGATCAACGACGGGGCGAGAGTGGCCGTGGCACACGAGGGGAACTGCTACCTTTTTCTTCTCCATTCTCCAAAACTATTATTGTGATAGCTGAAGCTTAGTTAAATCAAAATGATAATTATTATTATTATAAAGAAAATTGATGTGATTTTTTGTTACGGAAGTGTGAAACCCTAAATCTATGGTCACTATAAGTGTATTGATCGATTATATGGGAGTATATTGATGTTATTGTATCTGCGTGATAGTGAATAGAGAATTTCACACCAGAGACTGAAGTGAAGATGGTGTGCGAAATTAGGATCGAAAGGAAAAGAATGTTATATTATTAAACTGGTGAAGAAGGAGAAGAGGGTGTGCGGAACTGGGATCGAAAGGAAAATATTGAAACTATTTCGAATTAAAAAAATGAAAATAAAAAATTGATGGCACATTTGTATTTTTTCTTTTCCTTAACATGAAAATAATAAAATAA